ATATATATATATATATATATATATATATATATATATATATATATATATGAATGATAATTTACAAAATTTTTCGCATACTTATATTGTTTTTCACTTACGCGACTGATATAACTTCACTCGAGTTCAATCTCGAAATTGACAGCAATTTCGCGCGACTCCAAACTACGTGATCGATATGTCGTGGTTTCGTGAAAAGAAAAAAAAATGTGCACGCCAGCGGGAAAGCCGGCGCGAAAAATTTACAGTTAGCTGGAAATCGTTCCGAAGATCTAGGACAGAGATGACAATACGCCACTATCAAGAAAGACAGTAACTAGCATTTGCGAGCTAGTATTCAATTTTATGTGGGATGCCTGTGTAAACTCTATCTCACGCACGTCAATACATAAAACAACATACACGTGCGACGATAAATGTGTATGTACATGTTTATGGCATATAGCGTATATACAGTATATAGCGCGCTTCGATGTTACTTATCGATTACGGGACTTTATGGTCGCTCTCTCTTTCTTTTTTCTGTCTTTTTCTCAATCGGTCGATACGCAATTTCAGATTATTATAAAATATTACATTAGTATTGTAATAAGATTATTATGTGATCAGATTGCATTGGTATGAATAGAAACACTAAAGAACAGACTTTCTTCTTCACCTAATTTATATTTAATAGATTAGATTTAAGTCTCCAAAACGCCCTTTTTGAAGAAAATTTCACTGAAAATCTGTAGTCCACGTTACATGTACTATGAATTTTCAGTGAAATTCTTAAAAAAGACGTTTTGGAATGCAACTCCAATGAAGCGATTGAACAGTGGCTACAGTGAGCTATTAATTCATTTTATTGTTGTTTGATTTATCTTATTGTTGTTTCTTTTGCCTTTCAATTATTTTCTATATAATCGAAATTTCTTTTGGAATAGATTTTTCCAACCCGTTGATAAACTAACAATTACGTGTCTGTCCTTATTTTTCTTTCAAATTAGAAAACAGACATATGTTAACTGTCAGTTTACCTAGTTTACCAAGAGATTGAAAGAACCGGACCTTGATGAGATAGATCATTAAGTCGCGCGACGGATAAAATGCAGGAGAGATCTAAGCGCGAACACATTTCACTAGGCATTTCACATAGAATTTTCCGATGAAACGCGCGTATCACGCGAACGTTGTGTACTCTGTAATACATTTAAATATTTCACGGAGTATCGTCGCATATATAAAAACGCCGTATTGCGATGTCTCTTTTGCAACAAAGGCGGCATACCAGAATTTATGGTAAACACGCGACTATATTTGAACAGCGCGCGTCAATTTAATCTCATCTGGCTTCGCCGTGACCATGAAAGCCCGTTGCCGTCGATGTAAACAGTGCACGCACACAATTGAACCAAAGGAAGAAAGAAAAATGAAGGCGCAAACGATACATCGAGATATTTGCGTGCCTGTGTCGTCATTATTGGCGACTGTGTGACTATGAAGAGGTCGCAAGATCCCATAATCGATAAGCAGCAACGAAATACACGGTAAAACACGCGCTATGTCCTTTGTATTGTGCGTGCATGCGCGTATGATTGCGTACGTTAATTACTGTCAGGAGGAAGACATTGAAAAATTGCAAGTCACGAGGAGAATCACGAGGAGAATCGAACGATTTTCACGACTGCCGAGTTCGGCGGGAGCAATGTACGCGACGACGCTAGCATAATTACTGCAAAAAAAGACTTCAACAATGACTCACCTAGCCCGCGATTCACGTACATGTAGAGAATAGGATACGCCACGCCATCTTGCTCGTCCTACAATCGTGAAATTTGCAAAAGAGTGAAAAAAATAAAATAAAATTAGTGAAATAATAAAACTGATGGAATAAGTGAGTCCCGGGAACATTTATGCGACCGAGTCGAGCAGATCAAGTACATTAGTCACGCATTGCGAGTTCAACTGTTCACTAATACATTAATATATCGAAAGAACATTTTTCATGCAATCATTTCTTCGCAATGAATTACGCAACTCGCGATTATTGACCGCGCAACCTCGTCGATGGGAATGCAGTGGGATACAACGAGAAAAAAAATGATTTTTCCTTTCCGCGGACCAGATAGATTCTCTTAGATATGAGGAGCTTGTGTCGTTTTCGCACGCGATGATATTCGATGTATCTCGGCTTTAGCAGCGCGAAAAAAAGACAGCGGTTTAGTTTTACGATATGGAAATGGCATATTCTACGCGCTCGTCCACATGCGATTTCTTTTTTTCACGTCACTAACGCTTTTACAATGTGGTGAGGTCGCGTTCGCGCACACGTCAGGCTCGCAATTGCTGCACAGCCTAGGCTATTCCCACAAGTGCCAGTAACCCTTCACTCTTTCCACCTCCCTCGGCGACCTCGCGAAATTAATAAAACATAAATATCAGCCAGGAAGGCGTAAGAAAATTAGCGCGATACCAAGCGATCAGCGACGTGGCACGCGGAATAACGGCGCGCCGGTAATTTTCAGACCCAGCCCTGCGAAGCCAAGACCTTAACTGCATTGTTGACCCGTTAGATTCAAGTTTAGTTATTAAGGGCAGCTTCTAATTTAGATGGCATCAAAAATAGAAATTATTTACATTTATTTTTCTTCTAGGATGAAGAAAGATATTAATATGTGAAATTTGACTATATATACCATTCAAACGTAAAAAACTATTCTTTTGTTTTAATAAAGATAGAAATTTCGTCACCCAGGTTCATGGTGCTAAGCGTAGTGTTGCTGGACGCTTAATGGGCAACATTACAGCTCGTGTAATAATTTGAAAAAAATGGGACGAGAGAATTTAAGAATTATATTAAATTTGCTGGAGAATGGGTTTTTGTTCTATATAGAAAGTCGAAATTTAACAAAATAACATTTTGAAGTTACAAATCATTTTTCCTCTCTGTTCTTCTTTTCTTCCTAGTAAATACAAAGTATCATCCATATTACAATGTCAGCTCAATCATATGGTATATTATGTAAATGTTACTTTGTTATATAACAAAGTAACAGTTACATAATATACCATATGATTGAACTGACATTGTAACATCAATGATATTTTGTATTTACTGTATGTTCTATTTAATATCCCGAGAAAACACTAACTTTTTAGAAATTTCCAAAAGATTTAGATTCTTCCAGGAAGTTTAATGCAATTTTTTAATTTCCTCGTCTTATTTGTTTCAGATTATTACACGTATTGTAATTTCGTCTACCAGTTAGAAACGCGTCCGACGACTTAGCATAGAAGACCTGGATGAAAAATTAATTTTTTTTATATAATTTTTTTATACTTGAAACAATGATAAAAAGTACGATTGGAACCCTATATTGGTATCTTTATTAATTAAAAAAGAACCTAATCTTTCTATTTTTCAACTATTTAAAATCAGAACTTTACCTTAACTCTGAATATCTCTCTTTCTTTTCCTTCTTAATTTTGAATTATATCGCGTTATTTTTATTTCTCGTTATGCTGAGAGAAAAGAGTGGTTAATCGAACTAAAATTCTAGTTATTTTTTAGTTAGTTTAGCTAGTTTTTTCTATATATTCTTTGCTTGTCCACGAAAACGGTAGTAGTAACAAGCATATAAGATTATTATTAATAATATAACATTACAAAAAAATTTAATAGAAAAACGATTTTGTTGACCATAATTTATAGTTATTATTTTTCTTCATAGTTATATATATAAAAAATTTTTTTCTTGGTGTAAATACACGAAGAGAAGAAAATGATCTAACTAAAATTATATTATTATTTTTAGTATTAACCATATTATTTTGCATTAGAGAAAAATGTGTAAGGGATAAATTGTGTGATTGAAAGAGAGAAATATTGCGCGGTCAGCAAAATATTCGAACCACACAATTCATTACTTACACTTCTTCTAATATAAAAAAAACAACAGAGATATTTTAGAATCCAATCTTAGATGACTCACCTACATGTTGCCTTTTTTTCTTTTTTAGTATTAACCATTATTATTTTTAGTATTAACCATATTTTCTTGTTGTTCTAACACGACAGTAGTAGTAATAACACGCATATGAGGTTATCATCACTAACATAAAATATTATAGTAGAAGTTTATAAAAAAAAGTTTCCATAATTTATAGTAATTATTTCTTTACGTAGTTATAGTTACAAGTACCAAACATTTTGCGCTCAATATAAATATCGCATTCTCAGTTCGAGGAAAGTTTGTCGTTGATGCGATCGACGCGACGTTCCGATATTTATCAACACCGGCCCCGATTCTGAATCATTGATCGTCAAGGGAGGTCTCCCGACTTCGGGGATGTTCGCTCCGGCACCGCGGAACACGAAACCGAGAGATCGAGAGAACGAAACCCGGGTGGGCACGCGATATAGCGCGATTTGCGCGAACGCTCTTCGATCGGTGCACGCTTCGTGAATTATGAGGGTTACCGCGGCGCGTGATTGGAGGTCAATCGACCGATTGACTGGACATTTCCGTATCAGTATCGAACGTACGCCATCGGGCATTCATAGAATGCCGGAGGCCGCTAATCTACGGAATTACCCAGACGATCGCCGGCCAATTTAATAATAGAACCGCTTTGCGGCCGGCCGAGCAATTACATGTGTAGTAATAGTAATAATAACCGCCGCTTCCCAGTGATGCGCATACTTGTTAATAACTATAAAAGCTTCGTACGTTGACGCGCGGCGGGGAATTTTTCAATCGTGCGTGACACAAAGACGCGATATGTGCGTGCACGCGATATTCGCTCCGCGAAGATAATTAATTTCAACGATGATTAATCACTTTTTTCCTTCGATCCGAGTAATGAGCGTTAATTATTTCCAGTTAAAGGGCAGAAGATATTTCATATGCACAGAGAAAGCTGGTTTTATTGTCAAGAAAAGCAGTTAGTTTATCTTCTTTTAAATAATGATTATCTTCAACGAAAAATATTTTGTTGATAACAGCTGTAAGAAATGTATTCACATCACAAGTTTTAGAAAAATTCATTATCATATATTCGAGAGAAAAATGTGTTCTCTTTGCAAGAATATTATAAAATTTATCCAAGAAAAATTAGCTCGACTTTATGCAATAAGTAAACTGAATTTTTGTTCTGATTCAATATTCATGATTGAAATGTTGAATTTATTAGGATTCACTTAATTTATTAGGATTAGAATATTTGAATAAATGGTAATTATGCAGTTTAGAAGACCCATCTCCAATGATCTTGACTTTAACATATATGATAGAGATCACCCTCTTGAGTGACCTTTTAAAGGTTTTAGCCATCGCTCGTTGTTTCTTAAAAAGTTATTAACAAAAAAAGTTGCATAAATGTAATTTTTGGGCACCGTATATACAAAAACATCGAATTTGTAAGCTAGAAAAATGCTTACTACACACACACACACACACACACACACACTGCCCTGGTAAAAAAAAGTTGATAGAGAACGATAAAATAAAATTATCGTTTTTCGTCGTTTTGAATATGGATTTTGGTTCGTGAATTCACAGATGTGAATAGTATTCTATCGTATACGATAGATAGTGATAGAATTTCTATCGTCAGTTTCCTATATAATGCAAATAGAATCCGATTCTTATAGAACCAGATAAAATACGATAGGGTGCTGACGCTTGCGAACGATAGAGCTTATAGAATACAAATTGATAGAAATTCTATCGTTCTCAATCGTTCTCTATCAACTTTTTTTACCCGGGTGCTCGCCTGCACGCGCGCCGCCCCTCGCGGTATGTGTGTGGTTCCTATTATATTTGAAGTTTTAAAAATAGAATGATATTTCTTCTATATTTTATTTCTTCACATATTTCTTCACATTAATTTATGGAGTGTTGCAAAATTATATGGGTGCTTGTTAAATCATTTAAATATAATAGGAACACACGGACACACCGCAAGCGCGCCTGCAAGCGAGCAGTATGTATGCGTGTATGTGTGTGTGCGTGCGTATGCAAGTGAACGTAACACACAGGTTCCAAATTATCAACATGCATTTGAATGAATTTCTCAATATAACACACGATCTTAATACGATTTTAAAAAGTACCTATGTAATGAAATATTTTAAACCGTACATGATAGGTTAGGTTAGGGTTAATTTATTGGGGAGGGGATGCAGGGGCGAAGCTCTTTCCTCGCGCGTATACGTGTAATGTTTACCACATTTTAATGTTTAGTATATGTAAAAATTACATTTAATTGATAAAATTTTTTTATTAATAACTTTTTAATAAACAATAAGCGACGGCTAAAACCTCTTGAATATTACTCAGGAGGGTGTTCTTGATAATATATGTAACAGACAAGGTCATAGGAAGTGGGTCCCCTAAACTGCATAATTACCTCGATAATATTATCTCATCGGAATTTATGTTTCACGGGGTGATATTTGAATGTAATGTACAATCAAAGAGTAATCGTGAGATATTTCGCATAATCTTTCGCCACGTTCATACAAAACACGGATTCTTCCGTGAATGTCGAAAATAGAACATAACTGGAACGGTGATAGGATAACGGTGATGTGCGGCAAATATATAATGTCGCGGTGTGCTTTCAGGGTTGGTAGCATCGAAAAATTGATAGACGGCGATAGACGGGTAATCGCGACTAAGCATCTGCTTCCAGAGAACAACATAAATGTCGTAGTCAGGTATCTAGCTTCGATTCGCTCTAATGTCGTTGGCTTGATTAAAATAAAGTCGTAATAACGTACGTCGCTTGTTCACAGGGTTCGTCCGCTCAGTAACAAGGAAATTAAATCCGGCGACGAAATGGTCGTGCAGTTTCCCGGCGACGGCCAAATATACGTGAGTGTGAAAATACGAAACTCCACTCCGAAATTTCTACTCTAAACACGGAGAAGAATTTTCAGTTCGACTAACTCAACGGGGACCGGAATGAAAACGAAAAATTCGCTGACAGGAAATAATTATTTTTGTAACCGAAAACATTTGTCTCAATATTTAGCTGCATTAAAACTCGGTTGAGATAACTGAGAGCAATTGGTTGAGCAGGAACCTTTCTGTTCCTATGACCGAGTTTTCTATCTGGTCTCCAGGTAATGGAAAATTCAGTCGCACTAACGGAGTTGTATTTTCCGTGTAAACCGAGAATTCGTTCGATCGTGTTAAATTTGTAAATTCTATTTCGGATAGAGCGACACGACAATGCAGTATCTATTCAAGATTCTAAATAATTTGCACGCTTCGTTTCGATGAAACATGATTTTATTTAGAAATGTTCGTTTTGGGCACAGAAGAAAACTTTCAGTTCGTGTAACTGAATCGGGGACTAGACGAAAAAATATAATTGAAAAAACATAATTGAAATGTTAATACAACTGAATGCAGAAAAGTGTTTTTGGTTGCGGTCACAGAGACATCCATTTCACGTGGCCGAATTTTCATCTGATCCTCATTCGGTTGCACGAACTGACATTTTTCTCCGCGTGACGATCGTTTTGTTCAAAGAGTTCGATGTTCGAACTCTTCAAGTTTAGCGCGGAGAAAATTTTGTAGCAAAAGTTACTGTAGAATTTTTTAATCGAGGAATAGATCGGCATTCTGCAATAACTTATTATCCTTTCATATATTGCTATTTATATTTTAGAAACTGAAACGTGCTATTAGAACAATCTATCATGTTCCTTAGCAAGATAAACCTTACTCTATTCCTGACTATTATTACAGATTAGGCAATCTATTCCTATATCACTGAAGACAATAGAAATAGTAAAAATAAACATAGAAATAAAAGAAATAGTACACATAAAATTGAAAAAAATTTGTATCGAAAAGGAAGAACTATAATATTCTCTCCTCGCGTGTAAGAGCGTTATTTTACTTTATCTTGTATTCATTATCCTCGAATATTTACAGTGCGACGCGGTTTCGAGCAGCGGCGACAAGAAACCGAAGCTATTCTCCTACAATGTGGTTTTCGAGCCGGGTGCCACGCAGGAGGACATCCTGCAATACTCCGGCATCAAGAACCTCATCGAAATGGCGGTGGAGGGTTTCAGCTGCACCGCGTTTTGCTACGGACAGACCGGAAGTGGCAAGACACACACACTGACCGGACCTCCGAGACTCGTAAGTAAAAAGGGAGACCTTCATCCTAATCCTTTCATCCTTTGAAATTTTCTCATTTCGTGTTTCGAATATTCTCGGAAGAGAAATTGTTTAATTCGCGCGAAACGCGCGAGATCGATTGTCCTTCGCGCTACAATATCATATTCAGATGCTAAAAAAGAATACATCGAAAAGTTTAAAGCTACGCAAAGTGCGGTGTTTTTTTTTTTATAATGTCGCGACTCGGCCGTCTCTACATGCAGGAGACAACGGATACGTGAAACGTGCGGTGACGTTAACGATCGATACCTACGTACTGGTGGTAGGAAGGTTAAAGTTGATTGTCTTTCGTAGATAAGATAATACGACGCGTCTAAGTCACACGTAATGCCGGCTCTCGATTAAACGCGCTATTGAAATTTCGATAGGTCACGTAAGTATCGTACGGAACGGTGGTGCTTAAAAAAAATTAATAGTGCGTCTCCCAAAGTAATGAAAGTAATGAAAAAGCCAAACGAGAGAGAGTCATATGTGTCTCATCGACAGATAAGACAGCGAAAAGTGTCGGGATAAAACGATTTAACGAATCAGAATAAAAAGTGTAGAACAGGAAATTGTCATGTCGGTGGGATAGTAAATGTAGCGAAATTGCTCCTGAACTTAATACATCAATGAAATCGATATTCTCTTTTTTTGCGACAGTTTGAAAAGATGAATCCATACTCGGAGGACCACGGTTTGGTCTTCCGTTCCTTCGTCTACCTATTTAAGGTCCTGCAAGAACAAGAAAACTGCAATTTTGTGTTAAAGGCCTCCTTCCTGGAAATCTACAACGAGAAGGTATAGTTTTTCGAAGATGAAATAATAATTTACTAATCGATAAAAACACTAAGATAAAATAATTCATATTTTTTAAATACGTTCCGCACAAAATGAAATAAGTCGGAGTTTTCTTCAAACGAGTTAAACGACTATCGCGTCATAAGCAAATTCTTTCGTTAAAATAATGAGATGACAAAACAATAAATTAATTAAAAAACAGGTGATAGATCTCTTAAATCCTGGCACTTCGAGAAAACCGTTGGCAGTTCGATGGAGTAAAAAGACGCGCGGATTCTTCGTCGAGAATCTTTTCACAGTGGAATGTGAAGAATTGGACGATCTACTGGCGGTTCTCGAGGAAGGTGCGATTTTGCAAAATAAGCAATTTTAAAACAAGATTTCTGAATTTTTCGAGATCGTTGTCTACACGTTCAGTAATTGACATTACAATTAACGAATATTTTATTAGAGAGATATTTTCCATTAATATTTCATAGATATTTTTTCTTTGAGAAAATTAATTACAAAGCTGTAACTATTCTATTCGACATCGTCTACTCTCTTCTATTTCTTATTATCACGCATATTAATTAGCACTTAATATAATTGTATTGTTGTCATCTCTGCAGGAATGAGGAATAGATCTATCGGTACGCACAATATGAATGAATATTCCAGCAGGAGCCACTCGATTTTGACTGTAAATATAACGTCGGAGCAAGCGGTAAGTGAATGTTCCAATATTTTTATGATTATATCATGCCATATATATGTGTGTGCCATGTGTGTGTGTGTGTGTGTGTGTGTGTGTGTGTGTGTGTGTAAACACACATATTTTCCTCGCGACGTGATTAAAATAAGTATCGAATATGAAGCGTCTAAAATTAAAGTCTAGAAGTAACGCGGAATATTGCACAAGAACCTATTTCATTAAAATTATTTTATTTCAATGAAATTAATTTACGTCGAAAACTAAAACGAATCAATTTATTTGTAGATGGAGAACGGTGTGTTCATCTCGAAACAAGGCAAGATCAATTTCGTGGACCTTGCCGGAAGCGAAATGACGAAGAAAACCCAGAGTGAGGGCAAAACCTTGGAAGAAGCAAACAACATTAACAAGAGTCTCATGGTGTTAGGTAAATTAATATATAAATTAATTCTCGCGCGCGTGTATGTATATGCATGTGTCATAATTACAATATTCTCGAAATTGGAGAAAATTAAAAAATAAACTTATTTTAATATCGAGTAATCGTAATAAAGCTTGTAATTTCAATTGTCTGTCGCTGTCGTATCTTCTACTTGTAATAATAATCCGCTTATACACTATGTGTAATCACTATACATATACACTATGTAGTATATAATACATTATGTTATATATATATATACATTATGTTATATATATATATAGATTAAGGAAATTCACGCGTCACTCTCTGCAATTGTTTCGCCGCGAATAGCAACTATAATTAATTTATCGACGGACGAAATTAAAATGATTCCGCTCGACATTGAAATTACAGCGCGTATATTATTTAGAATAGCTGAAGAAATCGATAGCGGACTATTAAGTTACTGACATGTGGAAAGACGTGGCTTCCGCGTAGCTTCCCTCCGTCTAGAGAATTGATCGATGAACTTTCGCGATTCTATTCGCGATTTCTTGCGAAACAATACGAGAATTTCTCGCGGCTTAATTTTTATCCCGCGCATTTCCTGCTATTTCCTCGTTTCTTTCGTTACAATTACCAGATACTACAACAAATAGATAAACAGGTGGTGACTACTACGGTATACTTTGGTATCTTGGATGGTTGAATATAACATCATTCTGCATGAATGACATTGCATTTGCATTAACAATTGAGAAATAACTGCGGTTTCAAGCAAGAAATGGCTACACGTGAAATTACGAATATATCGAAAAACGGAAAGCTAAAAGTATTTCCTTTATTATTTCTAAGTTACTTAGTATTCTAAGTATTCTTAGTATTTCTAAGTTTCTAAGTATTCTATTATTTCCAATTTATTACTTGGATACTTTGCATGTAACTGTCATGTTAAACACTTTGGAATCTACTTTCTGATGATGTTCCAAATTAATAATCGCGCGAAACAAATGACGTTTGTATTTGCGTAGGGTACTGCATCTCTTCCTTGAGCGATGGAAAACGAAAAACAGGCCATATCCCTTATCGGGATAGCAAATTGACGAAGCTCTTGGCTGATAGCCTTGCCGGAAATGGCGTTACGTTGATGGTAAATAGATAAGCATGACTGTTGTGACGGTTTTTAAACGAAAGTCGATCTTGCGATAGTCTTTTCGTGGAAACGTTGTCCACGTTATTTACGCGGTAAACGTTAATATATTACGGCCATAAACGGATTATTTAAATACCGTTACAAGCTGAATCGTTAATCTTTTAGAGAAGATTAACGGATTGAAACGAATGGAAGTAAATTGAGTGGCAGAAATAAAACTTGATTTCTAACATTTAAAAATAAAGTTTTGAGAAAGATAATCTAGTAACTCTTTGCAAAAAAAATATAATAGAAGAATTTTTATATTAGATTGTTTAAATTTTGTATCATCATATAGCGATTGAGAAAAAACGTTATTAAAAAAATTGCTATCCATGGAACTTAATAGAGATATTATAATATTAATATGGCTGTTTCTAGATCGCCTGTATTTCGCCAGCTCGTTCGAACGCCAACGAGACTTTAAACACCCTGAGATATGCCGCGAGAGCCAAAAAGATCTTCACAAAGCCAATTGTAGTGATGGTGAGTATAAATTTTAATCTACAATCTGTAATATTTTTCTTTACAAAAGTTTTGATCTTCAAGAGAAATGACTATAGGGAATTAATAACTATAATTTTCAGGATCCACGCGAAGCTTTGATTCTCAGCTTAAAGCGAGAAGTCGGAGCTCTTCAGACCGAAAATGACCACCTGAGAACTGCTCTTAATCTCAGCGCCGAGGCTCAAAATGAGATCCGCAGCGAGTCAAAAAGTATTTAATTTATATCAATCGTTCAACAATAATACGAGAGATATACTAATAGTTACACATTGCGGACTTGTTTTTATGCAAAAATGAACGGACTGAGAAAAAAATATAATAGAAAAAATGAAACGATAAAATGAAGAACAGAAAAGCAAAAATGACTATTTAAATATAATTTTAAAACAATAATAAAAAACTCTAATCTTTCATCTTGAAAGATTAAATTTTATATTTCACGAATTCTTCTAAGTTTCAAATCGATTATTCTTCTCATGCGTTATTTCTTTACAGAAGAATAAGAAATAGTTATATATTTGTTCTTATGCTACTATTTTCATCGATTACTTATAAAAATGTATCTCGCAGCCGAACGGTTGATATCCCTGACACCACCACCAGTGGATCTCGAAAAATTAGCTGAGATGGAGAGCTCGGAACTTAGCCAACTGATACAAGCATACATCACCGAAAATGAGGCGTTACGTCGCGAAAATGCAGAGCTTTACGCTACGAGGGACCAAGTAATACGGGATCAGGAGCTCGTTTGCCGAGAAAACGAAAGACTGCTGAGAAAGCTTGAGGATGTAAACTCGTAAGCACGACAGCATTAGCTACAAATTCCGCGATTACACAAGCGTAAATACAAAAGTTAAAATGCACAATTCGTTTGTATTATGCACGTTATGTTTAGTATCTTATATATCTTATATATATGCTATATATCTTATCATTATATTTTATTATTTTATCTTATCATTATATTTTATTATTTTATTCTACACAGAGTATGCTGTCGATCACCCATAATACCAGCACGACCTTCGTACTCGGCGGAATTATTAAATGATAATAATGAAGATGTACCTGGTGCGACGAACGTCTGGACCAATCCGAACACCGCACCCAGCCCGGTGTATTCCTTCTCGAGGGTACGATTTCGCTAACTGGAACATATATATAATATAGTAATGATAATTTATATAAAAGATAATTTACATACAGAAATTTAAATATTTTTATTAACATTTAATAGAACACATGAAATGTTAATAAAAACAAATAGAAATTTTGCTATCGTTTCAAAAAAATCGCCATAATTACAGTATGTAAAACTATTCATATGATTATGATGAATTTTCGCGAAATGACATAATTGTTTAACTTTATTTTAATTATAAATATTAAAGTTTTATATTGCACTTGAAACGATTGCGAAGATTTAATATGACAATTGTTATAAAAATAATAATTACACTTCTATATCATTTTCTTGTTACTTTATAGCATTTAAAGGATATTTTTAATATCACGTTATTTGTCCTATTTTATATGTTTTCACTTCTCATATCGTTAATGTATTTTTGCCTATGCAGCATACAATCAATAGCGCAGTGTACAGATCAGCTGGCAGTATGCCAGAAAAGATTCTAAAGGAGCTCGACAAACGTAGGATCGTCGGTAGTTACAACAATATTGCCGAAGCCTACAAAGACAAGAACAACCATCGTCGCCACAATTCATGGGACAATAGCAATCGACCTATGATCAGCCCGGAACAGAGAATTTCCCCTATAGATGTCAATAAGTAAGCAACTTTCTTAAGAAATAGTTTTTAAAGCTTCTATCATTTTCGTTTTTATTGTTTTGTTTTTTTCATATTTTATATATTATCACACACAATTATATATAAAGATATTTCCTTCTTTAGCCTTTTTTTTGTAAAAAAGGCCTTCTATTTCAAATATAACAATTTATAATAAATGATTGTATTAAATTGCATCAAACGTGGCACTTGAGCGATTCTGTGTCTCTATGTGCAAAAAATTCCAATGATTGTGGAATTTAATCGATATATGTTAACTCTAAAAATAAAACTTTCTGTCTGAATTTTATCTCGAATGAGAGATAATCTGATTATCATACATCTGTCACTGTCGAAGATATCACCTTTCATGTTCATTCATTTGATGCTATTCATTTCGACTCTGAGCAAAATCAACTAAACTAACCGAAGTCATACACGGTGACAGTGTTCAGCGCAAAACGCCTGTGAGGCGCACTTCGATAGTCCCTGAGGAGAATAAACTTCTGTCGACGAGATCAAATGAGCCTGCTGTGGATGATACCACGACCACGACCACTACCACCACAACTACAACCACAACCATCACCACCACGACCAGCAACACCGTGATGCCAGTCGAGCAAATATCTAACGGGTCACCCGATTCAATTCTAAGTGGACCTTTGGAGGAGGGTGCGAATTCCGCCCCCGATACTGCGGATTCAATCGCCCCCACCGCACCTTTTCCGCCGATATCATCGGACAAATCATCCCTCGAGACACAGGAACCATCGCAAGATCGGAAATCTTCTCAGGGCGGCAGGAAGAATGCCGGCAAGGATGACCAGAGAGCGTTTGGCAGCCCGGTCTCTATTGATGACGAAAACGGGCATTTTTAGGACGAGATATAATGATATTGATTGCGTTCAGCAGAAAAAGCTGCTCTGCAACTGTTGTAAACTTCGTGAATCTGGTTGGTTATGTGATCTTGGCTGAATCTAAGAGCTATATACTAATCAGATTCACAAATTTTACAACATTTACAAAGCAACTTTCTTTATTGTATATGAACGCAGCCATTGGATCATATTCTAAGCATATTTTTAGTTTTAAGTGTGGCAGGTTGATTATAAGTCTTATTTGTGTCAAACAAAGATTCTGTAGAATACTATTTCAACTTGAGCATGGACGAGCCACATTTAGCTAAATGTACATAAAGAATAAAGTCCAATAAGTCGTTACTGACTTAACGACTACTCTAAGCCTGATTCCACAATTTATTTTAACTGGAGTTAAATTGTTAAAGGCCTATCCAAATATAGTCACATATTGCATATATATAAGGAAATTAACCAGTTATGATCTATGCAATAAAAGAATACCTCTTATACATCCCAGACAACATAATGTCTAAACTCAGGATATAAGACGTCTTTAAGACATCTTCCAATCATTTTTAAGTAAAACGTCTGATAGACATCTTTAAGATGTCTTTTAGTCGTCTTGTGTCCCAATTTTAGACATTATGTTTGAGATATTTTACATTAGATTAGTCAATTTTCTTGTGCATATGAATAATGTGATTATACAAGTTTGGCAGGGTAGATCTTTAATGAGTTAAACTCCAGTTACAATAAATTGTGGAATTGGGCCTAAGTCATTGTTGAGTCCTATATACGATTACACCTAATCTTAATTGTAACATATTTCGATACACTTGTGAAATGAAGCCTAATAAAATCTTTTTAGTTTATATGTCTTCATCGAAGACATCGAACGAGGAAAGAGACGTGAGTTGTACAAAATAAAATATAGATAAATTAAAGCTCATGAAAAATGAAAATGAGTTGGAAGAAAATATGCATATGGGTGCGTTTTAAATCGATCTCTTCAAATTTCTTATTTTTCCATAAATCTATATTTTATTAAATATTATTTCTTTAACATTCCTTAGATTTAGATCATATCATTATATTTATGTGTCCCTAAAGACACAAGTCTACAATATGGAGAGTAAACTTGACGTAAGTTGGAGAAATAAAAATAATTTATTTCGCTTACGTCTCTGTATATTCTAGCCTCCTTACACTGGAAGTACTTCTTTTATAAGGTCTTTGAAATAATGGATGTTAAAGATAAAATGGCGAGTGTTGTTTGTTGATCGCATTGATTTGCGTTCGAGGAAGGACATTTTGCGAAATCCTCGTATGTTTCACAAGTTTATATTTTATCGAACTTATTTTTCCTTAATATTCCATTAATTTTAAATATTGGAATGACTGCGTATATTTTTAATACTGCGAAAAAGTGAGCTTCGCGCGAAAAAACATCGTCATAGTTTTCGCAAGTTACCCCATTCTACAAAAAAAATGTTGCAAATTTTTACCGAAATCAAGTCATCTATTCTTATTTCTTGTCATTATGTTTCTCGTGTTCGATTGTAGTATAGCGATGCCAACGAATACGTAGTGTGCCGCTAAATATTTCATATAAAACGAATAGCACGATTTGCGATACCTGCCCCATCCGCGCCCCGAATTCAACGAAATTTTTTGTACACGCGTCTTGTCCTTCAAAACATTAAAATATTTAAATCGCGCAAAGGCGCCCTCTTGGGCTGCACGCGCGTTCCGAAATTCATTGCCAGTACCAGAGAAAAGCATGAGAGAGGCCACCAGCCTGATTTCAATGGCCAGAGCTAGATGCATTTTCGAGACGCCATCTAACAAAGTGCGCCTTTACTACGTTTGTTAGGTGCATTTTCGCGATGGTAACGATAAAATACGTCTGGTTCGTGCCTGTTGTACTTCCATAATTGGTTAATCTTGCCAACCATAAATATAATTAGTCAATTCCAATAGAATAACTGGCAGATAAAGTTAACCGGAGGTGAAGAATTGGGCATAAGTTAACTAGAGTTTGTGGAACTGAGCTTAAAAGAACAGAAAGATTGATTATGCGGTAACGCGTAAATACGTGTCATGGGATTCCATTCTGAGAGATATGATTGATCGGCGTAAGTTATGCTTACGCAAGTTAGGCTGAGTTCCCACTGAGTGCGTCACGCGTCGCGTCGTCTGCTTGCGTCACGAGTTAACCAATCAAATCCTCTAGTTGGGATGACGCGCGCACGACGCACTTGTTCCAGTGGAACGATTTTATTGGTTAACTCGTGACGCGCTCAGTGGGAACTCAGCCTTATGGCTCCTGCACACAGGACGCGGTAATGCTTGCCGCGCGGTGGAAGTCCGCGCGACAGCCAATCAATATGTTGTTTTTCCGTAAGAGCTAGAAGGTTATTACAGAAAGCAGCATATTGATTGGCTGTCGCGCGAACTTCCGCTGCGCGGCAAGCATTACCGCGTCCTGTGTGCAGGAGCCATTACGCCGCATGAAGAGGCAACCTCAGAATATGGGCCACTATGTACACAAAGCTATTTTATTGGCTACATATTATCTAAGATATTCTCTGAGATAACAAGTAACTAATAAAATAGCTGTGTGTAATGCAAGATTCACACTGTGTCCGATGTCCGACGTACGACGTCCGATATCCAATAAAAGAATAGCTTTCTAATGGAGAATTGAATTCTATATTAGAAAGCTGTTCTCCTATTGGATATCGGACGTCGTACGTCGGACATCGGACGTGGTGTGAATCCTGCATAATACAGTGTTTCTTGCTCAAAAATGACCAAAGTGTAGCGAGTGTAGGTGAAAGGAGCAAATGTAAAGTCGATCACGAACGAGCCGGCGAACCCGCCCGAAGCTGCGTGTGGCAACAGCGAAGAAAAGAGCGCGAGAGGGTAAAGGGGTGAGGAGCGTGAAAGCGTCGGTACGTCGAATGGTCATCCTCGAATGGTGTGGTTCTCGAGAGCATCGTTAACGTTCTCCGGGAAGGTTTATCGGTGACAGTGACGGCGGTGACGTTGGTCTCCGGGCGGATACGCAGAAGCAGAAGACAGCTCGTGAATAATAGACACAAAGGCGATCGCGGCGGTGGCGAAGGTGGGAGAAGAAGAATCGGACGACGACGAGGAGGAGGGGCGGCGGAGGTGGTGAAGTAGGAGGTGAGAGGCGACGTGCGGCAACAGCGAGTGTAAGATCGGTTTGTGCACGGTCCGTGCTGGTCTGTCTTCTTCGTGGTGTCGTCGTCACCGTCGGCACAGCCGAGGTGTAGCTACGTGGTCAGGCCGTGTGCGTGTTGCGGCATCGGTGGGATAGCTGACGGACGGCAGAGAAAGGAGGAAAAGCAGACAAGAAAAGAGTGAGAGCGAGCGATAGGAGAGAGCGTGAGTGAGTGTGTGTGTGTGTGTGTGTGAGAGAGAGAGAGAGAGAGAGAGAGAGCGAAAGAAAGAGAGAGAGAGAGAGTGAGTGAGACGTAAAGGGAGGGAAAGGAAGAGAGAAAGAAAGCGCGAAGAACGGAACTATCAGGGGAAACAATCGACGGGCACACGTAATCGACGGCGTGACTCCGTGAAGTCCGATGTCTAGTGCTGAGGTGGCGGAGAGCTCCGTTGATCCCCCAGCCAAGAAGCGACGCGTTGCTGCTGCCAGCACGACGGGACGTACCGACGACGAGCAGCCGCTGACGACGAACGCGGATATGGCGAAGGCTAACGGCTCCACGAATAGCGGCTCTGGCTCCAGCTCCAGCACTATGTCACGTGCCGGCGGCCCGGCGGAGATCGATGAGGGCCTATATTCGCGACAGCTCTATGTGCTCGGCCATGAGGCAATGCGTCGCATGGCTTCCTCGGACGTGCTCATCTCTGGTTTGGGTGGTCTAGGAATTGAGATAGCCAAGAATGTCATCCTTGGCGGTGTCAAGTCAGTCACTCTGCATGACGACGCTGTGTGTAAGCTGGCTGACCTGGGCTCACAGTTCTATCTTACGGAGGCGGACGTAGGTAAGAGACAAAGCAAGGAAACAAACTGCGAGAGACATGGAATGCGCGAAATGGATAAGTGAGAGGATTTAACTGTTTTTTTAATGTTTCTACCAACAACAATAAAACCTTCATCTCACTCCAAAGGCCTGTTCTTTGTGTCAGCTGCACTGCTGAACTAGTACAATAAGTTAGAGTGAGAAAACGTATATTTGTCTCACTTCAATATATTGCAGCTACAAAGAACAGGCCTCAAGTCTTTGTCTAGAAGGAGTTTAAACTCAGATAAAGATTTGATTGACATTGGTAGAAATGAGTATAAGTTAGCTTGAGCTGAATTTTCTGTGTTTGAAATGTACATAACTATATATCTAACTTTGAAAATATGTATGAGAGAAGTAACTAATTTGTACAGCTCACTATAGATAAGATTATTGTTCTTTGGTTAAAGGAAATTTATTTGAATGATGTGGAAAGCTTGCCTTTACTTTAGAAATGACGATAAATTCACAAAGGATAATCTCCAAGATGATAAGATTTAAATTGAGATAAAAACTTAGTCACTGCCATTATTGCATGAATTTTACCTTCATTGCACAATCCACTTGCTGTTATTCATCATACTGATTAAAATAGGATGTGAAACTGTAAAGTATATGTTACTAGTGCAACTCATCATGAAAAGATTACCTTGCATAATGTTACTTAAGTCACAAATAACAAGTTATTTTTTCTGAAATTGTATCTATTAAAAGATACTATTTAAAATGTATGACAAAAAGATATAAAATTAGAAAATAATAGTTGTTCAAGTAGCTAATCAAAATAAAAGTAGACAAAATTACAATAAATAGGATGAAGTAAAAAGGTTAAAATAAATTAAAAAATAACTAAATTCAATTAAAAATTGACTAACTGATTGATTGCCCAGATAGATTTTAATGATAATCACAACATGAGATAATCAATAATTTTACAGTTTTTTTTTAGTTACATTTATGAAGTGTGTGTGTGTGTTTGTGTTTGTGTGTGTAAATATACTGTATTGAATTAATGACTAAATTTACATTATACAATAATATAAATTTTTTTTGATATTAATGCAGCAACAAATTTACAAAGAATTACACTCAGATTTTCATATTACTTTTAATGTGATGTATAATTTAAAGAAAATTTTGATTATTTTTTTATATTTCTATTTTGTTATTCTATATGATAAAAAAATATGAATGCAATTAATCATAAAGAATTTAAGATTGCTGAATTTCATGATTTAATATACTGAAAGTTGCTGTAAGGTTTACATGTATCAATCTATTGGGGTGGTGTCAATTAATTAATTAATTAAAAGTCTGAATTAACTGATGAGAATGGTTATGCAGATTGATGCTTAGATATTGCTAACACTGTCATTATTTTGCAGGTAAAAATCGTGCAGCTGCATGCTGCCAGCGACTGTCTGAGTTGAACAACTATGTGCCAACACGTCACTACTCCGGACCACTGAATGATTCATACATTCAGCAGTTTAAAGTTGTGGTACTGACTGAAACGTCGCTCTCCGAGCAGCAGCGCATTTCGCAAATCACTCGGGCTAATGACATTGCCCTGATTATCGCCGACACTCGCGGCCTCTTCTCTCAGGTGTTCTGCGATTTCGGCGAAACATTTACAGTTGTGGATACCAATGGCGAGCCGCCAGTGAGTACGATGGTCGCTAGTATATCCCGCGACAGCGAGGGTGTCGTCACATGTTTAGACGATACACGTCATGGGATGGAGGATGGCGATTACGTGACATTTTCTGAGGTGCAGGGTATGACTGAATTGAATGGTTGTGAACCAATTAAGATCAAAGTACTTGGACCGTATACCTTTAGCATCGGCGACACTGCCAGGTGAGACACAGACAATTAAAAATGTAGAGGAAAAAGTGGGAATATGAGTCACTTTTCAGTTTTAGACGAAAAGTTCAATATTAAATGCAATAATTGCATTAATAACTGTCAGAAGTGTTAGCAAATATATCTGTTATAATGTATTCATATTCATAGGAAAAGAAAAAAACTATTCAAAGAACGTAAAACTTTTTTAAGTAGTGTCAAAGGTGGGATCTTGGAAAATAGGAATGTAATACAAAGCAAGCATGAAAATAAAAAATTTTTATTGTAAAGTTGTTAATGTTAGAATAACTTTTTTTATTGAAATTCCTTAAATGTAAAAATTACAAGAGAAAAATTAAAATAAAAAGAAATTTTTATATAACTAGAAAAATAAAGTTTAATAATTGAAATTATGTAAAAAAAAGTCCCTTATGCCTAAATGGGCAGAAGCTGGAAATAAAAATATCATATTCACTGTATAAAACATGGAAATTTCAGATATAATAATATGGAACACCTTGTTTAATCTCAAAATAGGAAACATATTTCTAAATAACTAACTCTGTAATTTTGAAGTTTAACTTTATTATTTTAATTAACTATAACCAATATGTTAGATTTATCCATTAAAAAAGAAAAATGTTTTGAATATTGTGAAAAGTTTAAAAAAAAAAATAAAACTTTTCCTTAATACTATAAACAACGTGACACTGACGCCAGACCTCTTTGATGATTGATAAAAACTCTTTTTGTTTGTTTTAGTTACTTGTTTAAATTGCAGCAATTGTTTAAAAAATTAGCTTTGTTTCATATTACCATCCAGTTTCATATTACCATCTTCTCCTTTACATTAAATTATAAAAAAGTCTTGAGATTCTCTAGAAATGTTTCACACAACTTTTAACTATACCATAAATAATATAAGGAGCAAAATACCAAATAATAATACAAAAAATGTATATAATAATAAAAGAAAATTTCATTATGTTATAATAACACACTATAGTTCCTTATTTATCACATAAAGTATTAAAATTTTTTTTTCATTTTTATTATAGAAAAATTTTAAAAATCTCTTCTATGATAAAAAAAAAGAAGTAAAATAAAATATTCGTTTTTCATTGATATTTAATGTGTAATTAATTAATTCGTTATAATTACAGTTTTTCCGAGTATATTCGAGGTGGCATTGTAACGCAGGTGAAAATGCCGAAGACCCTGCACTTTATATCGCTGGAGGACGCATTGAAAAAACCCGAGTTCCTCATCACGGATTTCGGCAAGTTCGATTATCCGGAACAATTACACTTGGCCTTTTTGGCTCTACATCAGTATGAGTCTGCCAAAGGCACGTTGCCTCAGCCGTGGAACCAGGCGGACGCCGATGAGTTTGTCACAATCGCCAACACAGTCAAGGAGACATATGGCTTCGAAACAGAGATCAACAACGAGTTACTAGGCACCTTCGCCAAGGTGTCGGCCGGCGACTTAAACCCCATGAATGCCACGATCGGCGGTATCGTCGCCCAAGAAGTGATGAAAGCCTGCTCTGGCAAGTTTCATCCTATATACCAGTGGTTGTACTTTGATGCGATTGAATGTTTGCCCGCGGATCGTTCAGAGCTTACCGAGGAGGATTGTTGTCCCACGGGATCTCGTTATGACTCTCAGGTACGACGATAAAATTGTCTTGAATTACTATGGTTAATAAATAAAATATCTGTTTCTTTAAATTATTTCGAGATCATAAATTATGTAAAGAATGAATTAAAAAAATAGTTGAAAATTCGAATAAGCAATTTTTAAACTTATTGTAAACGTCTACGCTTTGCATTAATGAATTTGTAGAGTTGTAAAAGTTACTATTATAACTTCTGTAAAACGTGAGCTGATAATAGTATTATTTTACGATTAGCAATTAACAAAATGCGATTGAAATATCTTCATACAATCATTGACACAATTCTAATTAAAAAAGTGAAGTATTAATCTCTGTAATTTAATTATTTGACAATCTTTAACACATGTTTTATTTTCAGGTGGCTGTTTTTGGTCGGAAATTTCAATCAAAGATTGGTGGTTTGAAATACTTTGTTGTGGGTGCGGGAGCAATCGGTTGCGAGTTACTCAAGAACTTTGCCATGATTGGCGTAGGTGCGGAAAGCGGCAGCGTCACAGTGACAGACATGGACTTGATCGAGAAGTCCAATCTGAATCGACAGTTCCTTTTCCGGCCTTCCGATGTTCAGCAGTCCAAATCGTCAACAGCGGCGCGAGTGATAAAGGGTATGAATCCGGATATGAAGGTGATTGCTCATGAGAATCGCGTGTGCCCAGAGACAGAGAAGATCTACAACGACGACTTCTTCGAAGTGCTAGATGGCGTGGCAAACGCACTGGACAACGTGAATGCGCGCATTTACATGGACCGCCGTTGTGTCTACTATCGCAAACCTCTGCTCGAATCCGGTACTCTCGGCACTAAAGGCAACACTCAAGTGGTGGTGCCGTTCCTCACCGAATCGTATAGCTCATCGCAGGACCCGCCGGAGAAAAGCATACCAATCTGTACGTTGAAAAACTTCCCCAATGCTATCGAGCACACACTGCAATGGGCCCGCGATAGTTTCGAGGGTTTATTCCGTCAAGCAGCCGAGAACGCCGCGCAGTATATCTCAGATTCGCAGTTTGTTGAGCGGACGCTCAAGCTACCTGGTGTACAACCATTGGAAGTATTAGAGTCCGTGAAAACGGCGCTGGTCGACGAGCGGCCTACCATGTTCGCTGAATGTGTAGAATGGGCACGTTGTCATTGGCAAGAACAATATAGCAATCAGATCCGTCAGCTATTGTTCAATTTCCCGCCGGATCAGGTGACCTCAAGCGGTCAGCCTTTCTGGTCCGGCCCTAAACGCTGCCCGGATCCGTTGGTCTTCGACGTCAACGATCCTCTTCATATGGATTATATTGTTGCCGGAGCGAATCTCAAAGCCAAAGTTTACGGAATTCCCATCAATCGCGACAGGGAAGAAATCGCCAATATCCTAGCCACCGTCAAGGTGCCAGAGTTTACACCTAAATCTGGCGTAAAGATAGCCGAGACAGACTCACAGGTAATGAGACATTTAGAATGATTACTGAAAACTTTGAATCATGTGGAATGTTACTTAAAATCGGAAATTTATTTTAGAAATGTTAAAAAACTTAAAGTACCTTAACACTTTAACGTTTATTACAAATATTCATAATCAAGTATTCTCAAAATTCTTGTAGGAAATTCTTATTGAAAGATTTAATATTATCTAAATATTCCACAAATTTTTTGAAAAAAAGAACAAATCTTGGTAGTTTCAAAACGCTAATGTTAATTTTTTACTGAAAATATTCGAAATAAAAAACTAACAAAGAATTTCTATACAGGTGCAAGTGTCGAACGGCAGTGGTAATATCGATCACGAGCGGCTGGCGCAATTGCAAGACGAGCTACCAAAGGTAGAGGACTTGAACGGATTGGCTATCTACCCACAGGAATTTGAAAAGGATGACGACACCAATTTCCATATCGACTTCATCGTCGCAGCGTCGAATCTGCGTGCAACTAACTACAAAATTTCGCCGGCCGATCGGCATAAGAGCAAACTGATCGCTGGTAAGATCATACCAGCGATTGCCACCACGACGTCCGTAGTAGCCGGTCTTGTCTGCCTGGAGTTGTACAAGCTCACGCGCGGCGTGCGTGATCTAGCTCTTTATAAGAACGGCTTCGTGAATCTAGCGCTACCATTCTTCGGCTTCAGCGAACCAATCGCTGCACCCAAACTCAAGTATTACGACATCGAATGGACGCTGTGGGATCGTTTCGAAGTGAAAGGCGAATTGACACTCAAAGAATTTCTCGACTACTTCAAGGAGCGTCATAATCTCGAGGTCACGATGCTATCGCAGGGCATATGCATGCTCTACTCATTCTTTATGGCAAAACCGAAGTGTCAAGAGCGCATGGGTCTACTAATGTCTGAAGTGGTAAAGAAAGTGTCGAAGAAGAAGCTCGAGCCGCATGTGCGTGCCCTCGTTTTTGAGTTGTGCTGTAACGACGAGGACGGGAACGACGTCGAGGTGCCGTACGTGCGTTACACTCTACCTTGACTCGCACGAACAACATCAGATCGCGCCAGATGTCTACTTAACTGACTTAGCCATAGTGATTTCTACAAATTTCTATATTTTACGATAATACCGCGTAAAAAACACAGAGGAGACGTATCGATCCTCGTAAACGTTTGTGTGAGGCACTCTCTTTTTCCTTTTCATTTTCATGTCTGAAGCGCGAGATATGAATTCTTTATTATCGTCTAGAGTGCTTTAGAATAGTAATTTCGAGCAGCTAGCACGCGCGATAGCGAGGTCAATTCTCCATTTAGGTTGTAATGGCCGAGATCCATCTCTGCCATCTTCTTTTCTCGTCAGGCATTTCAAAGTTAACGTTACGCTTAAATTAAAACATTAGAAGTGAGAAATTATACAAATCATTTGATTTCGATACCATATTTTTACTTCATTGGATATTTGTTTTATGATGGCTATATTCTTTCACTTTTTGTATGGTTGGTAGAAACAAACTTCTTTTTTAATTTATGGAAAAAAAGATTGTTTTCTTAATTTCTGAATAGTTAAAATCAAATATAAAGATTCTGTGAAAGAAGAGTATATTTTCGACTATTTAAAATGTGAAAGATGTTAGCCATTTCAAAAGACATATCCTTTGTAATCTGTATAATTAAATTAAATAAATAATTAAATATCTAATTAAATATCCATCTGTTAAGTATGCCAAGATTTGGCATACGAGAAATTATTGTCTAAAATGATAATTGAGTAAAAATTAATTTTTTAATATTGATGTATTGAATATATTTCTTATTATTAATTTTGAATTTATTACATAAACTTCTTGTAAGTGCTAAAATATCTTAAAATATCAAATGAGTTAATCATGAGAAAAAGATATTGTAAAGAAAGATATAATATACAAATCTTGATATATATGTTTCTCTCTAAAACGTTTATTTTGTACATTTTTCATTTTTTTTTTTTTTTGTGAATTTTTTTAGTCTTCTTGCTAATTTGTCTTTGTAAACTCGTAAAAATCAAAAAAATTATTCTATAACAGAGTTATAATAAATTAGGAAAACAAATTACAGAAATAAAGAAATAATGTAGACATCAAAAATTTCTTGTAGCTTTTTAAAGTAATTTAGATTGACAGCGATATATAAATTATTAGAGATAAGAACAGGACTTATTCAAGATATAATACATTCGGTCTCTCACTTCTAATGTTATAATTTCTTGTGTATGTAATAACTACGACGAATCTCTGGAGCCTTGGCTCAACTGCCTGGCTAAATTTAATTTCTCCGTCTCCGTTATCTGTGTTTATGCGTTTAGTCCAGATCTTGCTCACGATACGCTGACTGACGTCGCGAATAGAGAAAAAGAAAACGCAAAATGCGCGGTACTAAATTTTTATGATAAGGGATATACAGAGTGCTCCATAACTGGCTACTTTAATTTTAACAACAGATTCTCTGATGAGAGTTTAGAGTCGGTTTTTCTTTGACAAAAATACTTAAATATAATCAACTCGAGTTACGAACGATTAAAAAAAATTGTTTTCCTTGAGCTAAGTTCTGGGGAGAAAAAATTTATAACAAAAATATATATTGAACTCTTGAGGAAATTTCAGATAAATTAATTCTGTACGATTTTAACTTAACACTTTTGACTGCCAGCAAGGTCATTAATGATCAGTACCGTATTTTTGCTACGTCCCATTAATTTATGCGCAAAGCATAACAAAGTGCATCAAAACGAATTAAGTATATAGCGAAATAGGAAATTATTAAAACTAATTAACATATATATATATATATATATATATATATCAG